ACCAGTGCACGTTGTCTCTCAGCTTTTACCATCTCCCGCAGCGTTTTTAAAACGTCATGTCAACATAAAAGTTGTTCAACTTATAAAAAAGCTTCTTGAGGCCCTGCTCTTATTTTCATTTCCTTCGCGTTTTTAACGAGCACAAACATGTTCTGTGTGAACGTTTCGTTCATTTACTGCAGTTTTAAAGCCCTCATTGCACAGATGTCGCCCAGTAGGTGGGCCTGTAAGCCTGCAGATTTCAGTATTTTAATAACAATTATTGATTTAAAGAGCTGACAAGGTAATGAGCTCCTTTTAATTTCCAACGCTAACAACACCCCTACTAGTTACAGTCTTGGAAATCTAAACTTGCTGCTGTTTCTTTTCACAACAAGTGTTAACACTATTCATCGAAACAAGATTTTGTTGGACTCTACAACAATATGAAGAACACTTTCAAAGTCCTTCTGTTTTTGCTAATGATGTTCGGTAAGTGGGAGATTTCTGTTTATCCTTTAACACTTTTGGGTTCACTTAGACAACGGAACCCTTTGTGTCCTTATTGGCTGATCTTCTCTTATTCATTAAGCTTGTTACCATATTAACAGTAATCACATTCAACCAGATTGCCGCACTTCCTGATCGGACGGAGTCTTCCTCCACTTTTTGTAATTACTTTTTCTCCTTGACTTTTTATAAGACACGTTGACACTCGCTTTCTTGCAGCTAACACTACTAATGTATACCAATAATTTAAGGCAGCTGCTATTTGCAATAGAAAGCGATATAGTCATATGCTATTTACACAAAAATAACATTATTTCCTTAGCATAGCAAAAAAAAGGGGGGGGGGCAGGCACCCTGGAGGCTGGTGCAGGACAGAAACAGGGCGGAGACAAGGCGAGCCTCCAGGGCGGATCAGGGAGCTCCGGGAGCTCCGGGAGCCATGGCGGAGCAGGCAGTTCAGGTTGCCATGGCGGAGCAGGGGACTCAGGAGCCCATGGCGGAGCTGGGGACTCAGGAGGCCATGGTGGAGCAGGCAGTTAACAGATAATTATCTTTCATTAACTCGTCTTTATTAGCACCTGAATAAATCTCAATTAAAAAAAATGTTTATTAGATTTGTTTACAAATATTACAACTGCTATATTTGTTTATTCTCTGAGAAATTGTTTCTGTTTCTAGCAAAGTGAACAGATAATCTTTCTATCTATCTATCTATCTATCTATCTATCTATCTATCTATCTATCTATCTATCTATCTATCTATCTATCTATCTATCTATCTATCTATCTATCTTATTATTAGGCTACACTTAGACAAATGACAATTTAAATATAGTATTCTTGCATGTTGTTCACCCAGTAGTAGCCTAGTAGTGATGAAAAAGAGAAAAGTATGTGAACAATGCGTTGAACAGACGTTTTCACCAGTGCACGTTGTCTCTCAGCTTTTACCATCTCCCGCAGCGTTTTTAAAACGTCATGTCAACATAAAAGTTGTTCAACTTATAAAAAAGCTTCTTGAGGCCCTGCTCTTATTTTCATTTCCTTCGCGTTTTTAACGAGCACAAACATGTTCTGTGTGAACGTTTCGTTCATTTACTGCAGTTTTAAAGCCCTCATTGCACAGATGTCGCCCAGTAGGTGGGCCTGTAAGCCTGCAGATTTCAGTATTTTAATAACAATTATTGATTTAAAGAGCTGACAAGGTAATGAGCTCCTTTTAATTTCCAACGCTAACAACACCCCTACTAGTTACAGTCTTGGAAATCTAAACTTGCTGCTGTTTCTTTTCACAACAAGTGTTAACACTATTCATCGAAACAAGATTTTGTTGGACTCTACAACAATATGAAGAACACTTTCAAAGTCCTTCTGTTTTTGCTAATGATGTTCGGTAAGTGGGAGATTTCTGTTTATCCTTTAACACTTTTGGGTTCACTTAGACAACGGAACCCTTTGTGTCCTTATTGGCTGATCTTCTCTTATTCATTAAGCTTGTTACCATATTAACAGTAATCACATTCAACCAGATTGCCGCACTTCCTGATCGGACGGAGTCTTCCTCCACTTTTTGTAATTACTTTTTCTCCTTGACTTTTTATAAGACACGTTGACACTCGCTTTCTTGCAGCTAACACTACTAATGTATACCAATAATTTAAGGCAGCTGCTATTTGCAATAGAAAGCGATATAGTCATATGCTATTTACACAAAAATAACATTATTTCCTTAGCATAGCAAAAAAAAGGGGGGGGGGCAGGCACCCTGGAGGCTGGTGCAGGACAGAAACAGGGCGGAGACAAGGCGAGCCTCCAGGGCGGATCAGGGAGCTCCGGGAGCTCCGGGAGCCATGGCGGAGCAGGCAGTTCAGGTTGCCATGGCGGAGCAGGGGACTCAGGAGCCCATGGCGGAGCTGGGGACTCAGGAGGCCATGGTGGAGCAGGCAGTTAACAGATAATTATCTTTCATTAACTCGTCTTTATTAGCACCTGAATAAATCTCAATTAAAAAAAATGTTTATTAGATTTGTTTACAAATATTACAACTGCTATATTTGTTTATTCTCTGAGAAATTGTTTCTGTTTCTAGCAAAGTGAACAGATAATTTTCTTTCATTACCTCGTCTTTATTAACACCTGAATAAATCTCAATTAAAAAAATAGTTTATTAGATTTGTTTACAAATATTACAACTGCTATATTAGTTTATTCTCTGAGAAACTGTTTCTGTTTGTTCTCCAGGTGTGTTTGGTGAAACAGTAAAGTTAGTAAAGGAGTAACAGTAAAGGCGTAAAGTTAGTATCAGTGATGGAGGAAGATTCTGTCAATCTAAACCCTTGTCCTACTCAACTGCAGGGTATTAGTGATATACTGTGGACGTTTGGAGCTCAAAGATCTAACATCATACAAGAAATTCAGTGTTATTGTCTCTGGTGAGGATATATTTTGTCAAGCAATATCACAGTTGCAATCATACTGTTGTGAATATCAGCTTAAATGTGATTAGAAAATGGACCCTTTTCACAAGACTGTCATGACGCATTTCAACGGTCACCAGCATCATAAAGCCTCAAAATTCTGTGTTTTTCTGTCAATATGGGGTGCTGTGTGTACATTAATGAGGAAAAAAAATTAACTTAAATGATTTTAGCAAATGGCTGCAATATAACAAAGAGTGAAAAATTTAAGGGGGTCTGAATACTTTCCGTACCCACTGTATATATAGATAAAAAAAAAAAAAGTAAAACACTATACTTTGTATTATATGACCTTTGCATCAAATTACACACACACACACACAAACAGTTAACGCTAATGCGAGGGTGTTTCTAATACAGCGTCTATGGGAGGGATGGTAAATTTGATATCGTTCTCTCTTCCAAATGCAATCATTGGTCTCTCTAAAATGTTTTCCTTTTTTTTGGAGTTTTTCTTTTGCTATTTGAGCAAATGGAATGCAAAAAATATATTTGTGGTACTCTCCCATTTACTGCTTTCGAAGTTTACCCAACTATGTCGACTTCTGCTGCTGAGAAACCTGGAAATGTGAAAAAGGTCTATAGAGGGTTTGCACTTATGTCACCATTTGGTTAGTTGTATGCGCGGCCATATTTGCGATACTTGGATGTAAACACCAGCATGGATTGGACGGTTAATGTACTACTGAATATGTTGTTATGCAAATTTATGCTGTCTAAACCACAGAAAACATGTGTGGAAGCTGCTAAATCATATCGAGAAGGACTTAGCAAGCAAGTTAATAGGTGGTAAAGATACGTACGAGCAGTATTAATTAATATATTAGCCTAATATTTCACCTACCTGACCGAAAATTATAAGAACAAATACTTTTGTTGCCTTTTGTTCCTCAGACAGTTTTTTTTTGCACTCTTCTCCTTGATTTGTTATAACTTTGGCAGTCTATAGTACTCCAAATATTTTTCCCGGTCTGACCGATTAGCACAGCCCAAAACATGACAATAATTGACCATTTTCAGCAGCAATAATCAGCAAAATATACGAGTTTTGTTTGGTTCAGTGGCATTGTTTACTTTTAGTTTCTATAGGCACAAAGTCACAGATGTTCACATGACTGATACAACTGCATGATATGAGTGCGATAATCATTTTATACAACAGTTCTAGAAAGAGATTCATATCAAGTGATCTACATTTTCACACATAATGGCCAGATATTTTTAGTTTTGTTTGATTAAATATTATGCTTCTTGGTCAATCAAATTAGTCAACCAGAACGAACTCTTGGGTGTGTCAAATTTATTATATTTTACTGAACTCCATGTGCCTTATGTAGTAACCACAAGCAGAACTAACCATTTTAAAACTTCATATTCTAGTGCAATACATTTTATCTCTGTCTGTGAATTTGTTATTTGTAGAGTCTTCATCTGTTATTGTTGCTGGTGAGGCTGAAATTAAGGGCATCTCAGTGAAAAAGGGAAATCCTGTCACTCTTGGGACTGTTCCTGATCTGTTTGGATATGAGCTAATATTGTGGGGGTTTGGAGATGAAGGAATTATCATAGCTAAATGTGATACTGAGGCCAAAATTACCTCATTATATGATGCTGTTGATGGGAAATTCAGAGACAGACTACACCTGCATGAGACTGGAAAACTGACCATCAGAAACACCAGAACCACAGATTCTGGACTTTATCAAATGAAAATCATTGGCATCGGTGGACATACCTTACACAATAAATTTGGTGCTCAAGTCTTTTTCAAATAATTACAAACAATAGTCTGAGGTGAAGTTATCTAATTAGTTATGGATGGATATTTATCAGAGTAGCTGCTGCAAAATGCTGCTTAAATCACATGTGTAAATAACATCTGATTTCAAATAAATGCTTTTGTATTAGTATTGTGGTATATCCCTCTGTGTCTAAATGAATAATGTTTGTTATAGATCAGACACATTCACTCACATTAATGACAGTCTCTCTTTGTCCTTCTAGAACAAATAAATAGAGTTAAACAAACTCCAGATTCAAGTCTGTCTTCTAGTGCTATCATAGGGATGATCATTGCTGTTCTGCTGGTGCCTACAACCGCTGCTGTGATTTACTATCACTGCAAGGTTTTTGACCAAGAAAGGCAAATGTGTACGTATTACAGCTGACACAGAAAGAGAAAGATGAGCTTTAATGTGCTATATATATATATATATATATATATATATATATACACACACACACACACACACACACACACACACACTCTAATTGGGTTGCTTTCAACCAACAGTTGGGTTAACCTAACCTTCTGGTTTAACCCACCCAACCGCTGGTTTGTCCATATATTACCCAGCATTTTTTAGAGTGTGTGTATGTATGTATATATATTTATATATATATATATATACAGTCATGTGAAAAAAATAGGACACCCTATGAAAGCCTGTGTGTTTTGTAACATATTTGGACATGTGGATATTTAATATCAATTTTAGCAATACTGAGAGATTCAAGTAATATACCTAAACAATTTAAACTGAAAAAAATACTTTTTAAAACTTTCACACACACACCGTGAACACACACCCGGTGGGCAGCCATATTGCTGCGGCGCTGGGGGAGCAGTTGGGGGTTTGGTTCTCAAGGGTCTCACCTCATTTGTGGTATTGAGACCCTTGAGCAAGGCACCAAACCCCCAACTGCTCCCCGGGCGACGCAGCAATATGGCTGCCCACTACCCCGGGGGTGTGGAGTGGGCAGCCATATATAGTCTATGAGGACATTCAAAACAACTGCCAATATGCCCAGGCCTGGCCGTCCATGCAAATTCACCCCAAGAGCAAAACACAAGATGCTAAATGTAGTCCCCAAAAACCCGAAAATGTCATCATGTGACCTACAGCAGGCCCTTGCTACTGTTGATGTGAAAGTGCCTGCCTCTACAATCAGAAAGAGACTCCACAAGTTTAACTTTCATGGGAGGTGTGCTCTCTAAGAAAAACATGAAGGCTACACTGAAGTTTGGCAGAGAGAATGCAGACAAAGACCAGGACTTCTGGAATAATGTTCTTTGGACAGATTAGTCTAAAATTGAATTTTTTGGACAGTAGGACAGAGGACATGTTTGGCGTAAACCAAATACAGCATTCCAGGAAAATAACCTCATAATTACCAACTGTGAAACATGGAGGTGGAAGTGTCCTGGTTTGGGGATGTTTTGCTGCAGCAGAACCTGGCCAGCTCACCATCATAGAATCCACCATGAATTCTACCGTGTATCAGAGGGTGCTTGAGGAATATGTGAGACCATCTGTAAAAAAATTCAAGCTGAAGCAGAACTGAACCCTGCAACATTACAATGACCTAAAACATACCAGCAAATCCACCAAGGACTTGCTTGGTGTGGAAAACTAAGAAATGGAGAGTCCTGGAATGGCCAAGTCAAAGCCCAGATCTTAATACCATTGGGGTGACTTGAAACAGGCTGTACATGCAAGAAACCCCTCAAACATCTCACAGCTGAAAGAATTCTGCATTGAGGAGTGGGGCAAATGTTCCTCAGACCGATGTTAGAGACTGGTAGATGGCTGCAAGAAGCGTCTCACCGAAGTTATTTCAGCCAAAGGGGGTAACACTAGCTATTAGGGGGTAGGATGTCCTAACTTTTTCCTCAGTTAGAATACACATTTTTGTTGATATCTTTTGTTTAATGAGTAAAACAAGGTTATTTTTTTTGTTGTTTACCTGCAATTAAATCACTTTCTTTTCCAGAGAAAAATAAAAACAAGTTTAGACATTGATATGTGACCATTTCTTAATAAAGAACTGAATGTTTAATGGGGGTGTCCTAATATTTTCACATGACTGTATATAAATATATGAAGAATACATAAAAATATATATAGGCTACTGCCAGTGTAATATCAGTTTTATCTCTGTCTTGATCTCCAGGTCAGACAGTGTCAGTAATGGAGGGACAATATGTTACTCTAGTTACTGATTTTGTTATAGAAAGAGGTGAGCGGGTACAGTGGAGCATTGAAGGTAAAACTCTCGCAACTGGAATGAACGGAGACATTAATAAGACCTCATATTGTGATGATATGAGATTCAGAGACAGACTGGAGCTGCACCATCAAACTGCAGATCTCTTAATCACAAACACCAAAGCAAGCGACACTGGAGTTTATCAACTACACATCACCACCAGCAGTGGAAAAGTCATACACCAGGAATACAACGTTACTGTCAGTGAGTAAATGCCTTCTTTAAATATAATAATTGCATACTCTGAAACGAACACCAATTTACACTAAATTGCAACTGTAATTTTAACTACTAAAATTCAGATGAGTGAAAATGTATAGTCTGTTAATTTGATGTATGACATAGATCAGAGATGATAGAGTACTCAAGTCCTGTTTGACATTAAAGTATAAAGTGATTGTTCTATTAACCGTCATGTGCTGTTCCGGGTCAACTTGACCCGATTTGATTTTTGAGTTGTCGGAAATATAAGTTAACTTATGGGGGTTTTTTTCTTAATTTTTTTTTTACTTTTTCTCATTTAGGGTCATGAACATGCATGCAAAGTTTCAACACGCTGATGTGTTTTGACATGTCCACGTAAATAAAATTGTTACGTTTGTTCTTTTCCCGGGTCAATTTGCCCCGCCTATTTAAATGTTCTAAGGCAACTCCAAAATAATAAATTCAATCTCTAAAACACATAAAAACATTTATAGAATAAGAGTGTGTTTGGCACCATATCACAAATGGAGAATCTATCTCTATTTATCTATTGTGCTGTCATTTACTTGAAAAACAGGTACCAAAGATGAAAATTAGAGTCTGAAACCTTTCAAATGATATATAGTTTGTCAAGATTACTTTAGGTTTAGAACAAGACATTATCTCACAGGTGTGGGGAAGTGGCAGTCAAAAATAGTGGTTAAAAACATTTGTGTAAATAATAAATTCAGATATTTATTCTTTGTAATGTGTAAAAAAGTATTGATATTAAAAGTTTATTGATTGTATGTTTTTTTTTCATATCGTAATTTTTGTGGCATTACATTGAATCCACTATGGGTCAAATGACCCGTACGACCCGTTTTCGATTCAGAGTGGAGAGTTGCTAGTCACCAATCACTTCGAAAGCTGAAAGTTGTCCTGTTCAAGTAATTTTATTACAAGTTCAGTTTTAACAATCTTCAAGCATGATTATCACAATTGTCCTCCCTTCGAAGTGCACTCCGAAAACATTTATGCCATTTTGAATGCAGCCTTGGCTTGTAAAAAAAGGTTAAGTTTTATTAAGCAAAAATCTTTGTCACAAGAGAAATGTCACATAACAATATATTACACAACATATTTTAAGTTATATGTACTGTACATATATATGTATGCAACATATCTGCAGTGGTTTGTGTAAAACATGGTGGTAGTGACAAAAAAGTGCTATGTGATTGTAAAATAAATGTATTTACATATTTAAAAAATATTACAATTTATTTGTATAATTACATCAATGTAATTCTTATAGACAATATACCCAAATAAATGACAAATAATTTCATAAATGTCAGCGTATGACCATATATCTATATATTTTTATGAGATTACATTGTAAGTGGTTATGTGTTGTGTTTACAGAAGTAAAATAGAATTGTGGAATATCTCAATAATCTTTGTACAAGAAAGCAAATATATGCTTCTTGTTTGCAAATGGGTTTCGATAAAGTTTGCAGGGAAACATATAGACCAAGAAGGTAAACATATACTGTACACTTAATGTTTTTTAATACATTATGTCAGAAGAAATAGAAAAAATAAAATAAAAATACAGCATTCAAACTGAATTTTTAAAGAAAAAATACTAACTAAACACATTATGAATTTATTAATGGAAACCATTCATCAGAAACAGCATCTTAACCATCAGCAGCACCCGCATGCTTCTTCCTGCTCAGGAAGCTGGACATTTTCTCTGATGTTGTGGAGAATTACAGTAACCACAATAACAGAGCAGCTTCTGGAGGAGTTTAGATTCAAGCCACCATTGGACTTGCAGATGCAGCGAAAACGCTGTTTCCACGCTCCTCTCCAGAGCATCTCCATCCATGGGCCTCATTGAACCTATCCTCTGCAATGGTGGCTGGAGAAATCCACTGCCTCCCAGCAGCCAGCCATCACCAAAGCCAGCCTCTTCTGGCAAATTGAAGAATGGACCAACACAAAAGAGTCATGTGTGCTTCCAGGCCATTTTGCCACAATGTCAGTTAAGATTCCTATCACACACTACTGGATAACCCTTCCTGCAGATGTACAAAGGCTCATTTACCTAGGGCTGGGCAAAAATAAATGTTTCAATTAATCGTCAGAGCTAGATCTTTACGTGTTGTCATCTCGTAATTACGGTAATTATTACGATATAGCGTGAACGCAGCATCCCTCATCAAACACACCTGAACAACCTAATCAGGGTCTTCAAGATCGCGCTCCTTGCAGGCAGGTGAGTTTCATCCGAGTTGGAGTTGCGGCAGGCCTCCTTTGATCTTTAAAAACGCATTTTCAAAAAGCAGTAAAAGACCCTCTTGACCCACCGATTCAGCGCTTTTTCCGACTGAGTGTGTGAGAGATCGCAGGTCGAGAGGATGACAGCTGGAGTGTGCTGCTCGTTGATTGCTGCTTTATGGTGTCTCTCTGTGTACTTGAGCACAACAGACGCTGAAGGAGCAGCCACAGGTGAGGTCTCTTAACTTCATTACACAGCACGAAGAAATAGCTATGCAAGTAATAATTTCTATGGGCACATCTCGGAACAAATCTACAGTACAGACGTCCAGTGAAAGTTAAACGTTGTATGTTGGTGTAATTTAAATAAGTATTTGAAGTTATGTTTATATTTCTTCCATTTTGTAGGAAAACACAATCGCAGAGATGGGCGTTATTAATTGGTGTATTCATTTAATGTATCTTTACAGTAAGCCTAAATGGACCCATTAATTTGGTTACAGGGTGGTTACCAGGTATGTATGCCATCACTCCTCGACTTTTTTTTTTTCCCCCCCCCCCCCACATTTTTTTACCCCCCCCTTTTTTTTTTTCCCCCCCCCCCCCCCCAAATGTTCTTTTACTTGCAATTTAGCATTGGGGCTAATTGTTACAAGTCGTTAATGAAATACTATCATTCAAGCCACTTGTTTTAACAATCTGATTGCATGGGTTTAATGGGTTCAGTCTGTTTAAGTTTGGTGACTGCATCGCAAAACCACTGATTTGCAAGTGCTGAGGGTCCCTTTTCACTAAAATTGCTACTTTGACATAATTGCAAAGAAATCGCAAGCAACACATTGACAAACTTCCAAGTTTGAAGGAGATGGACTAACAGCTGTTGTGTGTTTTTTTTTTTTTTTTTGTATGTCAGCAGAACCAGAAAAGCCAGGAGTGTGTCCTAGAAACAATGTTGAAGAAGCATTGTTAGGAGTGTGTGCGGAGATGTGTTCTCATGACAGTGACTGTCCAGACGATCAGAAATGCTGCAGCAATGGATGTGGACATCAGTGTATGCCTCCATATAAAGGTATTTATAATAGTGTGTATAGCCTATGATCACCAGCTGGAGTGCCCATGAGTTCCACAAGAGGGCACTCTCCTCTGGACTATTCTCACAGACTACATTTCCCAAAATCCTTTGCCTCGACTCATCATTGATTTGCCTCACATCTTTACCTCATCAGTCTCACCCTATAAAATCCTGGTTTAATCTTATTCTTTGCCAAGTATTGTATGTTTAATGTTACACTGCAATTCCTAGCCCTGCTCTCTGGTTTCCTGTCTGTTTGCCCGTGGATCAGTCTCGGACTGTTTATTGTCGTTTCTTTGCTGCCTGCCCTTGGACTGTTTTCGTTCATGGACTGATTTTTGTGTTTTCCACCTGCCCTGACCTTATGCCAGTTTATGGATTACTATTTGCCTTGCCCTTACTGTTGTGTTTGCCTTGTGATTTTGTTTATTTTTTTTTTTTTTTTAGTTTTTTTTTTTTTTTTTTTTTTTTTAAATTGTAAATCAGGGATGCATTCAGTGATCTGGTTTCTATGTCCCTTGTTTGTATAACAGAAAAGCACGGATCGTGTCCCAAAATCATTGGAGAAGGACTGTGTGTCGAGATGTGTTCCCATGACAGTGACTGTCCGAACAATCAGAAATGCTGCAGCAATGGCTGTGGACATCAGTGTATGGCTCCATAGAAAGGTATTTGTAATATTGATAACCCACCACCCACAAATAGTTTTTCTTAAGTATTTTATTATTCTCAATGGCAAAGTACCTGCATTTGGCCCATAGCACCATTTCAAGAACATGGCTTTTCAAAATATAATAATACTTGAAATACAACTTGCCATAAGTAACTTGTGATTCATGCATTTTGTGCCGTTTATGAATATGAATGCCAGACTAAATAATAAATTGACAGACTATGGCTAGCCACACGCTAGAATAGCAGTGAGGCCTGGTCTCTCAATCCAAGTGTGTGCTGATAACTCTTCCCATGATGATCAGTTTCCTGCCAGACAGAAGTGTTGCCCAACCACCTGTGGCCATGCCTGCAGCTAACCGTGCCGAATGAACCATCGGGAAAAAAAAGTCCTCCATTTTGTTTGTTTGCATACCGTACTTGAGGTCTTCTACATTCACTGAATAAATGCCATAGTTTAGAAAACGTGTGTGTGTGTGGTGGAACTGAAGTACAAAGCTACCAGAAATGAAACCAAGAACACTAATGTGAGAGACATTTTGTATTTCGTGTTCGTCTTGGTTAAGTATAGTTTTAAAAATTTCAGTATTTAGCCAGCCTAAATATATCTCTAAAGACTCCAGATTTGGTGACTATTTTTCAAATCTAGTCCTGATGACTAATGTATAACTGATCATTTCGACTCATCCTTTTTCTTAAAATATGGTTTAAAGACTAATTGTTAATGCACAACTAATCTTATGATCCGCTAGGAGTTAAAATATTAATTGGATTTAGAATAAATTACCAATGGAGTCAGATTTATAAATTGGAAGACTAAATTAAGTGATAAGCAGCAGGCCAGACATGCAGAATCTTCCACCCTACACCTTTGGGTTCTGTTGTTGGGCCAGTGCGTGCTCCTTACAATGGTCTGGCTTGAATATAAAGACCGATGTTCTCATGTATATTTAAAGTGACAGCCCCCTCTCTCTTCCCCTCCCAAAATGTTAATGTCATTCCAAACATGACTTCTGTAGAGAAACTAAAGATATTTGAGAAATTGATTG